TAACTACCTGACTAAAGCTGTCGTTACCTCTTCTCATCTTACCAATATTCTATTACGTTAACTACCTGACTAAAGCTGTCGTTACCTCTTCTCATCTTACCAATATTCTATTACGTTAACTACCTGACTAAAGCTGTCGTTACCTCTTCTCATCTTACCAATGTTCTATTACGTTAACTACCTGTCTAAAGCTGTCGTTACCTCTTCTCATCTTACCAATGTTCTATTACTTAACTACCTGACTGACGCTGTCGTTACCTCTTCTCATCTTACCAATGTTCTATTACTTAACTACCTGACTGACGCTGTCGTTACCTCTTCTCATCTTACCAATGTTCTATTACGTTAACTACCTGACTAAAGCTGTCGTTACCTCTTTTCACTTCGTCCCAATATTCTTTTTCTTTAGCTATCAAATATACCATTATCCCTTATCGTTTTACTGTTAAACTACCTGAAAGCTACCATTATCACTTATTGTTTTACTGTTAAACTACCTGAGAGCTACCATTATCCCTTATCGTTTTACTGTTAAGCTAACTGATTATTTGATGGATCAGGTCTGAATCTTTCTTTGTTACGATATTAATATGTTGTAGTTTTTAAGAATAACAGTCTAAACATCTTTCATGTACACCTTAAAAAATTGGCTTTTATTTAATTTCATATAACATTTCAGGTATTTTGTAAAAAACAAAATATAGTTGTGATTTAGTGTGGAAGACTCGCACATCTTGCACTTTTTTTGTTTTGTATCAGTGATTAAGAAATATTAACCTGCGGTTTATGTTGCTCGTATATGATTTTGATTTGTTTCGCTTATACAGATCATCAAGTTTAAAATCCAAGTTGACCTACCTCGTTTCATAATGTACCCAGAGGTGCTTGACTTTGGTTGGGTAATCTTTGGAGAAACCGGTAAAATGTGGACACGAATCATCAATAAAACTGAAGCGTCTCTAGTCTGGAATGTTTCCCATGGTAACTGTTCTTCATTAACTCTGTTGTATCCCATGGTAACTTTTGCTGTTTAACTCTATTGTTTCCCGTGGTAACTGTTCTTCATTAACTCTGTTGTATCCCATGGTAACTGTTCCTGTTTAACTCTATTGTTTCCCGTGGTAACTATTCCTCTTGAACTCTATTTGTCTTATCTTGTACGGCTAAAATATTTATTATTCAAATATTGTCGTATATCTTATTTTAAAAAACACTATTTGTTTGTTTATTGTTAAGTGCAAAGCTACATATCTTTACTCAGCCCATTGCGGGTATCGAAACCTGATTTTCAGCCCTCACACTTACCGTTGAGTCACCACCAAGTCATTTTAGTTATTTTTACTTTCTCATGCAAAATAATTGTCTTATTATGGCAACAAAAAATATAGTAATAGCACATAGAATATTAGAAAAATATAAGTTTTTCTTCTTGTCAGATGAGTAGTATAAACGTAGGGTATATTTTCGTAAGGTGCTTCAGTGTATATTCTTTTAATGATTGTATTTTTCATGTTCTTATCTGAATAATAAATTCATTATACGTACAGATGGCTGTACCTGTAAAGGGCAGTTCTTAGTTAAGCCTTACGGTGATCTTCCTCCAGGACCTAACCAAAGAGAGATCGAGGTGACGTTTGTTCCCAAGTAAGTTTTTACTTAATGTATGTTTACAGCTTTAAATAGTCATCAAACGACTATTTAACAGTGTAAAACTTCATTAACTGAGTCGGTTCTAATGGGCGATAAGCAATGTGTTTTATTTCGCCTATATATTTGATATAGGTTTTCCAGTATTTATACACTTTAGCCTAACACTCATCAACTTTTGTTTTTAACACATATGATGACCATAGATTAGTGCAGGTTATTAGTCCCATACAGATACTGTCTATTGGAGCTTATAACGTATTGCAGCTGATTAGTAGAAGGTCAGTGTTATTTTAGACCTATGTGTTCAACAACTTGGAACAAAACATTAATGGTACGACTTAAACATCTACGTAGCTGGCAATTTCTGAACTTCCAAAAGTCGTTCTAAAATTCTCACGTTTTAAAAGTTTACCTTGTCTGTCTTCTAGAACTACACAGTATTGTATTGTATTGTCTTGGATGGCGTGATTTGGCTAGTAAGTTACAGTAATGGAGAAATTGTTGATTTATTGTTATACAGGTTAAAAACAATTTTCTCTTCGGCCACTTAATAAACAAAAATAAATATATTGTGACGCTTCTCTTTATTATGTTGAAATCAAATTATAATATTACGATTAATAGTTAGGTACGAACAATAAAATGTTTAAGCACAATTTTATATTATTTCACTGGCCTTAAACATTGAAAATACTCAAAACGCGAAATCACTATTTTTTATTTAAAATTTTCGTTTTTACTAAGACGCCACATTTTTTTTTTATGTTCACGTGTGTTTCTAATGATCGTAAACAGTTCGTTTTGCAAGTTTTACTTGCACAAATGGTGGCTTTTCTAACATCATTTACATTTGAAAATACGGATTTAAAAAACTTGCATCTCGGAACTGAAAAAATATTTGTGATATTTCAGTGCTGACCTAATAATTCCGAAAACAATAATATCTTATAAGAACCAGTAAGAGGATTATCGGAGTTTTAAATTGGTTGTAGGTAAATCTGCCAGTAGAAAGTTAAGTCTCTTTTGAAAGTCATCGAAAATAACTTTTACCATTCGATTGAAAAATCAAAAAGTAAAAGAAAGTAAAATGCAAATTCATGTTATTTTCTTGTTAGGTTATGACTCCAGTAACACTAGAGAAAACCTATCACAATTTTACTTCCTTGAAAATGATTCTGTTACACTGTTAAATCTGTAGTCCATTAGTCTTAACAATAATCACTGTTAAATCTGTAGTCTATTAGTCTTAACAATAATCACTGTTAACTCTGTAGTCCATTAGTCTTAACAATAATCACTGTTAAATCTGTAGTTTATTAGGCTTAACAATAATCACTGTTAAATCTATAGTCTATTAGTCTTAACAATAATCACTGTTAAATCTATAGTCTATTATGTCTTAACAATAATCACTGTTAAATCTGTAGTCCATTATGCTTAACAATAATAGAAAATTGGAACACGAAGCCTAATATAATAGAAATTAAGTGTAAAATAAATTATAATAGCCATAAATATATATATATATATACATATATATATATATATATATATTGGTTGAGAAGGAATATGCAAGGTTAATTATAATTCTGAATATTTCTGTGTCTGACCTAGTTACCGGTGATTGGTTAAGGTAGGGTACATTCTTTGTATCTAACAGGTGAAGTTTGGGGCTTTAATAAAGGTTTTTAGATAATTGTTTTACGTTTTGTTTCTACAGCATGACAGGAACATCAAGTTGTTTGTTAACGATTGAGGAAGTCGCCCTTGGAACACGAAGGCACCTCCAAGTTACAGGGACAGCAACCATGGATGAAAAATACATGGTTGTTGTCAGCTAAAAGAAAAAAACTGCTCTAATAATTATAACTTGTATAGCTAACATTAATTTTTAAGTTATTAAAACGTTGTGTAGTAAGGACCGATATGAAAAAATTATTAACTCATTTGTATGTATTCCAAAACGTATTGATATATTTTAATTGTAACGTTAACCAATAAAAATCAATTATTTTTTGTGATTGAGTAAATATTGATGTTTATGTGAAATGCTAATAAATTGAATAAGTTTTGCCGTGAGTTCTGAGCAGCCTTAACTTGAATAATAAAGATCTAACTAGTTTCGCCCCCCAGTGGCACAGCGGTATGTCTGCGGACTTACAACGCTAGAAACTGGGTTTCGATACCCGTGGTGGGCAGAGCACAGATAGCCCATTGTGCAGCTTTGTGCTTAAATTCAAACAAACAAAATCTAACTGGTGGGAGAATGTTTTTAGGTTTTTTGATACCTTTGCGCGTTTTGTTAATGTTTTTGTTTGATTGTTGTTAAGCGTAAATCAACACAATGGGTTATCTGTACTGTGCCCACCATGAACAACGAAAGTCGGTTTTTAACGTTATAAAGCCTGAACACTTACCGCTGAGCCACTGAGGAGCATGTTTTTGTCAGTTTTAAAGATCGCTTTATTCCCAATAAGAAAGAATAAAAAGAGCTTTGTAAGATTGACAATATTCAGAATCTTCAAACTATAAACAATCCAATGAATTTTAACACATAAAATTTAATGCATGTTAAGACTGAAAGTTGTTATTTATGTTAAGTACATCCGAGTTGTTCATCCGGTGTACCCGAGGCAGTTCGAACTGACCCGTCATCCATCAGGCATATACAATACAAGATGCTAAAAACTAAGTTTAATTTTTGCTCCTTTGATTTTGAAATTTACTTGTCTGATAGTTGTTACCTATTACTGTATTACTATGACGGTTAATACTAATACAATTGAATGAAACACTTCCTTATCGATAATAAGTGTCCCGACATTGATATCCCACTCAAAATTACTATGTGACCCGCCACTATAGTACAATATTGGACAACCCTGAATAAATAATAAGTAGTGCGCATACGCATAAATATAAGTAGCCACTTTTGGGTTCATTTACCAATTTCTAGACGTAAATCATTGGTTGTACAATACATTTATAATCTATTAAAAACAAATATTTCCACTTTTACAGCGCAACGGTACATGATTTGGTTGTTATTCAGTGAAAAGTTACATAATGGGCTATCTGTGCTCTGACCACCATAGCATTGAAAGCTAATTTTTAGTGTTCTTAAGCCTTTATTGTTACCGCTGAGCCAATTATTACTCTGTAATAATAAAACAAGCACTCTTCCCATACAGTTAACATTACTCCACTAATAAAGCGAGAATAAAACATGCTGTCAACCATTTCTATAAATTGTTACCAATGTTATCATACAGTTAACCTTGGTGATATCAATTTGTAATACAACACAAGCAGAAAACTGAGCAGAAACAGACCCACCAGTACTTGGCGGCCTGGCATGGACAGGTGGTTAGGGCGCTCGAGTCGCAATCTGAGGGTCGCAGGTTCGAATCCACGTCCCACCAAACATGCTCGCCCTTTCTGCCGAGGGGGCGTTATAATGTGACAGTCAATCCCACTATTCATTGGTAAAAGAGTAGCCCAAGAGTTGGCGGTGGGTGGCGATGACTAGCTACCTTCCCTCTAGTCTTTCACTGCTAAACCAGTACTTGACACTTCGCCTTCTCCATGTTCGAAAGGGGTTCAGTAGAGTTATGTACGTCATGGAAGGAAGTATTATGGGTATTTCAGACATTGACAGTGGTTTTGGAGGTGTTCATGCTCAGATGCTAGGGCAGTGTATATAACTATAAACATTACACTTGTAAATATTTGTCAATGAAATACTGTCATTATTTCATTATGTTTTCCACGTCTTGCGGTCTTTCCTACCGTGTGCTTCATCTTTGTACGTCATCTACCTGAGGTGCATCACGAGGTCAACAAAGCAATCACTTTAATTCTACTAAAGATTAATGCGGAGACTAGAACTTGGGACTTTGTTTTCAACTCGTCGCATTCACCATTACTTAAACAATGTTCACTGTTTTCACGGATTTTATCGCCTTTTTAAAATAGTGGGAATGGCAAAATGTGTGTATTAAGGAAATGAAAACATGTCGTCTTATCGGCTGGATGCAGTAAAACAAAATATTTCTATATAAAAATTTTACTTCATTATTGCACCGAAAGATGGCCGAAGGCCGCCTGGAGAGTCCACCTGTTTTAACCATTTGCACCACAATACAGTAGTGTTTTGTCTGTCAGTCAGTGAGTAAACACTAAAATGACGTCACATAAAAGACGTTTAACGTTGCAATTTGTCTTGTCGTGACGTCAGTAAACTTGCGCATGTCATGAATCACGAGAAGAATTATGCACTCTATAGGCAACAACACAGCATGTGACATATGAACTTCAAAAGCAAGAAATAAAAATATTTGTTACTCTTAATTTTGTTTTTATTTACTCTTGAAACAGAACACTTTCGGGGACCCTGCGGACGTACATCTAGTATATATATATATGTGTGTGTGTGTGTGTGTGTGTGTGTGTATAGATCCAACAGAAATGTTAGATTAAATAATGCTTTTTTGTGTTCTTTACCTGTAATTTGTTTATCTAAGAATTTTCGCGCAAAGCTACACAAATAGCTGTCTGCCTTTCCTAATTTTAAACTGACAGACTAGAAGGATGGAAGGTTGCTAGTGAACAGCACTCAGCGCCAACATTTGAGATACTCTTAACGACTGAATATTAGAATTTATATGGTTTAGCGCATAGCTACACATTAGGCTATCTGCGCTCTCTACAGTAGGGAATCGAACTCCAGATGTTGACATTTTATGTCCGTAGCCTTACCGCTGACCCATCGGAGACTATAAGTGGGATTTGGTCACCATTTGTATAGCGCAAACACACACACACACACATATATATATATATATACACATATCGCAGAGTGTGAAGCCCGGTAATTTGACCTCTGGTGTACGTGGTAGATGAACTTAGTTTTGTATCTAAAAATTGCATATGCATTCCCAATCGTGTTAATCTAAAATTATTCAATTTCAAGTTTGAAAAAGTTGAAGTTATTTTAATTTCTGGCACAACCTAAAAGCAAACATATATTTCCATACACAGAAGAAGAGAAAGAAATAATATCCAATCAAATATTTTATGTATTCTGTATGTGGTTCCTTTCTGGCAAACTTTAAAAAGTCTGTAAAAAACTAACAAATATTGTTTACCATATAACACGGG